GAAAATTTTGTTGTTGTTTAAAGAAAGCCTGGCCTTCTTGTTGTTTAGTTGCTTACTCATGTCTAAAGTAATAAGTTTGTGCTTTCTGGACCCTGGGGTTCTTGTCTCATCAGAGGAGTTGAAGATAAAAAATGAGTTTCTTAGTAAAATCTTGATTTCAGTGATGTTTCCGGAAAGAGTTTTTTTTAAAATTGAATTTCATTTTCTATTGCTTTTAATAACGGTTCAAAGACTATAACATAAAGAAGAGGCAAGAGTAGGTCTCCTTGTCAAACTCCTCTTTCTATTCTGAAAGGGCTTGAAATATCACCTGAGTCTATAATATGTGCTTCTTGGTTCGAAAACAGATTTTTGATTACTCTTCTAAATCTTATATCAAAGTTCATCCTTTCTAGCACCGTTTGAAATGCTTTTTTCTAATCAACAAAAAGCATCCAATGTTGTTTAGCAATGTCTGTTTGATTTCTTATAGTTGTGAGAATTTTGGCATCACAATTGACTAATGAAATTGGCATCCAGTTATCTAAATTGTTTAAGTCTGCTAACTTCTTAGGTATCAGAGTTATCATATTTTTGCACCAAGATGCTAGAAGCATTCCTTCTGTTAGAACTTGGTTAAAGATTTTCTTGAGAACTATGACTATCTGTTCCTCTGTAAGTTTATAAAACTCATATATAAGGCTATCAATTCCTGGTGATTTGTTGTTTGGGAGCTGCCTTAGTGTTTGACTGATTTTTTCTTGTGTGATAGGTTTGGTTAGACCTTTGTTTAGCTCTTCTGAGACTTGAGTCTGATTACTAGTTAGTTTGTCGATTGCCTTTTGATCTGTTTTGAGTGTCTTCTTTTTTGTTTTCTTTTGTGCTTTTGGGTTCTTTAACTATTGAAAGAGCTGAGTTTCCATGTCTAGACTTGTAGTATGAAAAGAAGTACTTTGTTGACTTCTCTCCTTGTTCAATCCACCTTGCTTTTGAACGAATTTGCCATCTTTCTGCTAATAGTGTCAATTCTTCTTGCATACAAAAGTTGAGATCCTCACATGTAGAATATAGGTAGGATTTAGTTGGGTCTTCTGCAATTTGTTCTTGAAACTTTGTGAGTTTTTTGTTAATCTTCGAGATCTTCTTCTCCAGAGCTTTTGGTTTCTTGAAGACTCTTATAATCGACTGAATTCTTAGCTTTTGTAGGTCCCACTTTGCTAAGTCTTCAAAAGACATGATTTCCTCTATTATTTCTTTTTTCAAGAGTTCATTTTTAAAGTAGTTCTTGTCAAACCTCCAGTTAGAGGATTGATTAATCTTCTGTCTTTCAGCCAGAGTGTATTCGATTAATAGATGATCTGAGTTGCCAAAAAGCAACTTTGTAGATGATATAAGATGTTCATAGTTTTTATCTATAAAAATATAGTCTAGTCTGGTTGTCATTGTTTGGTTGTTTTGAACCTTTTGATGAAATGTAAGGAATGGTTTTTGTTCAGTATATAAAGCAGAGTCTATATAATTCTTAACCAAATCTTTGGCTTGGCTTATTCTGTTTATAGCGGGGTCTAGATTTGTATTGAAGTTCCTGCCAAAATATTAATGGTGTTTTCTTTGTAATATGGGACCACTTGTCAAAGAAAGCTATTTTGTCCTTTATGTTTGGAGAAGTATAGACATTTGTTACCGAAAAAGATCATCCTCTGTATATAAAGCTTGTAGAACCTCTGTGTCTTGAAATTTTATTTCCTTTCTTCCTGCTAATATAGCAGCTTTGTTTGTTTATATTGATTCATATGTCCATTGCTTCTTAATAAAAGTTGGTGTTGCCTGATTGCTCAGATTTGTTTCTTGTAATAGTATTAGATCTAAGTTGTATGATTTTAAAAGTATCATCGTTTTTTGTCTTTTGTTCTAATCATTAAGTCCCTTTACATTTAGAGTAGCAATTTTAATTATTGCTTTAGTCATTAGATTATAAAAATAAATATGTTCTTAATGAGCTTTTGGAGAATTCTCCTCTATTCATTCTTTCTTGTATGGTGATTTCCTTACTGTTGCTTGCTTATGTGTGTTTTGGAATTGTTTGTTCTTTTTCCTTTTGTAGGATACTGTTGTAAAGTCTTCTTCCATTGGGATTGCTGACGATACAATCTTTATTATTATTACTGAATGATGGGCCATCTAATGCTAGCTTGTAAGTTCCGCTTCTGAGAAGGTGGTTACTTGTTCTGCTTCTTTTTGCGAATTTTTAATCTCCTCAACTATATTGGAAGATACATCGTTTATTTTCTGTTCATTTACTATTTCTATATTCATTGGTTCCTCTGCTCTTGATTCTTCTTTTGCTTCAGTCTTTAGAAGACTTTCTGCTTCTTGAGTTATTTTGCTATAGATGTCTCTGTCTCCCATCTTGGAGGCTACTTTGAATTCTCTATAATGTTGTCTTAATGCAACCGATTCTTTGTACTGAGAGCATTCCTTTTTTATATGTCCCTCTTGATCACAGAAGTAGCATGCGCTTTCCATTCAGTTGTAATTTTGTTGTCTCTAAGATGAGTGAAACAAGGAATTAGTTTCTCTAAATCTGCATCCTCAGTTGTCTCAAAAATGACAATCCACTGGTCAGTTAAGTATGGTGTTCTTTCGATTACTAGTGGTTTGATTGAGGCTATTTTGCCAAAATCCTGAGATGTATCTTTAATTAGTATTGTTATCTCTTCTTTTCCTTCTAGTAGAACATTTCTGAGTTTCACTGGAAGAAAAGACTTGTGTGAGTCTGTTGGAATATATCCAAAATATGATTTGTTAAAAATCTTGATGCTCTTGGCTGCATGATGGCTAAGAGTAGTTTTGTTAGTGAAGACAATCTCTAGATGTATATGATTGCCTTTTTTGAAGTGTTGTTTTGCTGCTATAATGTCTTGCTTGACGCTTTTATAGAGTAAGACCATTATTTCATTAAAGGAGCTTTGAATATCTTGTATTTCAATGATTAAAGCATTCTCGTTTTGGTTCTTTTTGTTCTCTTGGAGAAAAAGCTATATATGTTGATTGACCTCTTTTCAGCTTAGCAAATAAGCTTGACTACTTTTTGTTAGTTGTATCCTTTAGTTGACTAGTATCTGCCTTGGCTTTTCCTTTTGAAGTTGAGCTTTCAATGTATGGATTCTGGTGTATTCTATTCCAGTGGTTGATACTGATTTTCATTCATATGATCTTGCACGTATTCGGTAACGTGACTTGTTTTGTTGTTGTATTGATGATCTTGCACGTGTTTTGTAACGTGACTTGTTCTGTTGTTATTTTGTTGTTCTTCATTTTTACGTGTTAACATGTCTGTAAAAGTTGAGCTTTGGCACTTCTCTGAGGAGACCATATCTTTCCAATTGACATTTTCTGCAGTTATTTTGACTACTTGTGTTGACATATCTGTATTTGCAGTAGTTTTTTTTGCTTTGTTGTTGTTTTGTTATATTGTTTATTTCTCTTTGTCTATCCAAGAGAAAATTTTGTATTTTTGGTTTTTTTGTTGCAAGTTTCTTGCATTCCAAGAGGAATATGTTTTCTTTTCTTTGGTACAAGGGCTAGTTCCCTTGTTGGGCCTTGTTCTAGATTGTTTATAAACTTGTATTAAGTAGTTATCGTGTATATTGTTTTTACTCTTTCCCTTACAAATTTGTTCGGAAGAGAGTTTGTGTCGATCTCATCTATAATCTTTTTTAGGATTAGTGGGATATTATAAACAATTTATTTGCAACTTCTCAATGATTGCAAACCTCTTGAATCAGCTACTACAAAAAGACAAACCTTATAAGTAGACCAAAGCTTAATATGAAGCTTTCATTGAGCTTAAACAAAGACTTATTAGTGTTTCTATACTCCAATACCCAGATTTCCATAAAATATTCATACCAGCAACCAATGCTTTTTACTATAGATTTGGTGCTACACTTAGCCAACTCAATAGTTATAATAAGGAACATCCTGTAACTTATGCTAGTAAAAGTCTAAAGAAGGAAGAAATGAACTATGGTGTTATTAAATTAGAATATGCTGCTATAGTATAGGCCATTGAACATTTTCATAAATATCTTGGAGCTACCAAGTTTATTTTGATTACTGACCACTATGCTCTTAAATAGCTATGTACTGCTGAACCGAAAAGAAGATTAGGATGCTGAATATTCAAGTTACAACCTTATAACTTTGAGATCATCCATAAACTAGAATGAATTCATTCCAATGTTGATACTCTTTCTCAACTTCAGACTCAAACTAAAGAATGCAAGTTATTATGAATTTAGACTGATACCATCAGTTATATCAGTATCTAGATATAAACACTATTCCAAAAGACTTTACTAAGAATTAGAAGAAACAATTAATTAACCAAGCTCAATATTTTGAAATTAGACACCACTTACTTTATAAAAAAATAGAAAGGATCCAAACCAACCTTTACAAGTTATCAAATGGACAGAAGTAGAACCAGTTTTCTATATAATGCATAAACATCCTACTGCTAGACATTTATGATACTATTGGGACCAAATATATCAAGACATTAAAAAATATGTACAGACATGTGAAGAATATCAGAAAAAACAAAAAAGCAAAAAAAAAATCTTTACACCTGATACAAGTCAGGTGAGCCTTTGAATGAATTGGTATTGACTTAGTTGAACCTTTTCCTATAACTGAACAAAACAATTGCTATATTATTGTAGCAACAGACTACTTGACCTGATGGCTAAAAGCCCAAGCTGTGCCAGATGCCAGAGCAGAAACTTTAGCAAAGTTTATCTTTGAAGAAATTATCTGTAGATATGGAACTCCTAAGATAATTCTATTAGACCAAAGAAGAAACTTCATTAGTGAAACTATCCGAATACTATGTAAAAATTTCCTTATCAAACACAAGTTTTCTTCACCATACCATCTACAGACTAATGGAATGGTTAAACACTTTAACAAAACACTTTGCAAATCACTTGCGAAGGTTAAAGGAACTGATGAATAGGATATACATATACCTGCTGTTCTCTTAGCATATCAAACCAAAAGACATACTACAACTGATTATACACCTTTTCAACCAATGTATAGTAGACAAGCTACTCTATCTATTGAAACTATTATCCCTACTAAATCTATACCAGACCTTAATGTAGAAATCGACCTCCAGGATAGTGTACTACAATGAGCCTATAAACTAATAGAAAGAATGGCCACAATACAATAAGAAGCTTAAGTTAATATCAAGAAATCGCAACAGAAACAAAAAGAATATTTTGATACTAGAATCAGACCAGAAGAATTTGAAATTGGTGTAAAAGTTTGGATACAACTAAAGGCTTTAGAGAAGTCAAGATCAGCTAAATTTGAAGACAAAAGAGAAAGACCATTTATTATTCAAGCAAAGACAAATAATGATGCATATAAACTTCAAATATTAGAAGAAAAAGTTTTACAAAAGTATTATAATAGTAACCATTTAGCAAAGTATTATAAGAAACAGACATGAGAACCAATCTTAGTCATTGAAAATCCTTAATTTTTGGAAGAAATTTTATTAAACAAAGAGAGACAAAGACAAAATTTTGTGAAACAGACAATTGTACAACTTTAAAAATTATAAATAAACTCTTTATTCAGAAATTCCCTAATTTATACACAATTAACAATGCATAACACCACCTTGCAACCAAGCCCTCCAATACTTTCAAGATCCCGCTACCCAAAACAAAGAAATTTGTTTCTAAAGTATTTTCTTGTAGAACTCTAATGACCCTAATGATACTAGTGATATTACTATACTAGTAAATACCGCAGTGGACCTTCTATTTAAATCTATTGATATAGATATCCTCTTGGATACCTTTCTAACTGAAGAATTAAAAATCAATTCAGCTCTATCCACTACCCCTCCTGAACCAGAAACTGAACCAGACACTGAAGTTTACTAAAAAGTTCAAGACAAACTAACACAAACTCTAACTCCTTAATCAAAAATCCATTCTAATTCTTTTATTGGTGGAACTTGGAAAGACCAGTTAACCAAGATTATTTAACAATTAGAAGACAAAGAAGCACTCGACCTAAGCAGATAAAAATTATCAAAGCTTATCTGTACTTAGGAATTCTTGGCTAACGAATGATAACAAATTTGTGAACTTCTTCAGACTTTTTAAAGCTCTAAAAAGAAAGAGTTGTTGTATCAAACTCGATACTTTACTGTTACTCACATTGTTAAGTTTACTGATAGAGAGTATCAGTCTTTAATTAAAAATTTGTGGAGAAAATATTATAAGAGGATAGAAATGTTATAAAACAGTTTTATTTTAGTAGTTTATTATTTCAATATTTGTTTTTTTTTTTTTTTTTTAAGGTGTCCTTCGGGACCAAGCTTTATTGATGTTTTATCGTTGATCACATGATCTACATTTTTTAGTATTACAGATGTATATACCCACCAATTATTCTAAGCTAGGTACCTTTATACTGAAGTGCTTCCTATTTATCTTATCTGGGCTTGGTTACCCTGTTGGTTGCCCATGGGTCTCTACAGGTAGATGAAGTAGATGCTCCCAATCTTTTTATATTCTACACATTTTCAAACTGAGATTTTTCAGTAACTTACGCCAAGTCTGAGAACGAGTACTTGCGAGCTGAGGCTGCTACAGTTACCTACTATAGCCCTTGTAAAGTTCATCCAAATTCTGGTACCTACTTTACAGACTCTCACCCATACCTCCGAAAACCCAAACTCCCAATCCGATAGGCCAGTAGGATCAGAACCCTTCCTCTGGTTTTCCCTGTTAGCCTGGTTGGTATTAGTGCTTTGCCAAACACCTCGGTCCTGTTTGGTTTTCCGGTATTCGGTTGATCATCCTTTACATAGTAACCGTCAAAGATCTGTGCTATCTCTCTACTCAGGTCTTGCTAAGCAGGATTCCGTACCCTGTAAATTTGCTGGATTTATTTGGTAGCTTTACTCAGTTTTCGTGTAACTTGTACATCACACTACATGTTCCAATACAAGCTGGTGCGACCCTTATTACAGGTTCTATAATCCAAAGTGATACATGTTTTCAAATACATTTTCTATAAATTCAAATTTTCATCATGGGTGGGATTTGAACTCCAGTCCTGCTGCTTGGGAGTGCGACAACTTGCCAACTTTACTAAGTCACCACACCCG